GGGAAAAGGGAGAGGAAAGGTGGATAGTGAATTAAAGAAAGAAGAAAGGAAAGAGGTGGGGGGGGGCTTTCGAAGAGGAGAGAGGGAATAGAAGAGGGGGATATCATGGGGAAAGACAAGGGGAGTAAGGGAGAGATTTCGAGGGGAGGGAGAGGGAGGGAGGAGATGGAAATGGAGAGGGAGACAGGGGAAGGGGAGAGATTCCGAAGGGGGGGGAGAGAGGGAGGGAAGAGGTAGCAAATCGAGGAGAGACAGGGAGAAACGAGGACATTTTGTAGGGGGGGGGGGAGGAAGGGGAGAGGGGGAGAGAGAGGGATTTCGAGGGGTAGGGAGAGGGAGGGGAAGAAGTAGCAAATTGAGAGGAGAGACAGGGAGGAATGAGACCATTTTGTGGGGGGGTGGGGTGGGGAAGGGAGGGAAGGAAGAGGGAGAGAGGGAGGGAATTCGAAAGGGAGGGAGAGGGAAGAGAGAGAGGTAGCAAATCGAAGGGAGAGACAGAGGGGAATGATAGAATTTTGTGAGGGGCGGGGAGGGAGGGAGGGAGGGATGGATTTCGTAGGAGGGAGGGGAGGGAGGGGGGGGGGGAGCCGGGGCAGCGTGGCACGTGTTGATTCCGCCATCAATGCAATATGGCGCCCCACAAAATGGCGGAATTTCTCATGCGAACCGCTGTACCCAAACATTGATCGGGGGGGTCAGCGGTGAGGGAGGAAGAGAGAGAGAGAGAGAGAGAGAGAGAGAGAGAGAGAGAGAGAGAGAGAGAGAGAGAGAGAGAGAGAGAGAGAGAGAGAGAGAGAGAGAGAGAGAGAGAGAGAGAGAGAGAGAGATGAGACGAGACAGAGAGAGAAAGAGACGAGAGAGACAGACAGAGACAGAGAGAGAGACAGACAGAGAGAGAAAGAGAGAGACAGAGAGAGAGAGGGAGAGAGGAAAGGGAGGAAGGAAATCGAAGGTAATAACTTTATATTCCAATATTCAAATGGGCAAATAATATTTTGGTTAATTCTCTTAATGTGATAATACCACCGGTTCTGCCCCCGTGTCTCCCCTCACTAACCCTGTGGTGATGGGGGAGGGGAGGGGCGGGATGAGGGGAAGGTGGTGATTAAATTTGTACTTTTGGTAAATAAGAGAAAGGAAAAGGGGGAATTCAAGAGGACAGGGCGATGATAAGAATAAGGATAAAGGCGATATCATATAACCAAGGATGATACATGGTGAAAGATGGATGTTTTTTTTTTTTTGGGGGGGGGGGGAGTAGGGGGAGAGGGGGGAGGGGATGCGTGGGCCATTTTGGTGTAGATGCTTGTTTTTTTTTTTTTTTTTTTTTTTTAGGGGGAGGCGACATGTGTTATTTCTCTCCCTCTTTTCTTGCCCGATTTTCCTTCTGGTCTTTGAAAAATACAGGGGGATAAAGTAGGAATATTTTCGTACCTGTTTCTAACGCGTGGTTTTATTATTCAATATCAGTATCCTCTTTTTTCGTCTTTTTTGTTTTTTTTTTCTTTCTTTCTTTCTTTCTCTTTTTCTTCTTTCTTTCTTTTTCTTTCTTTCTTTTTTTTATCTTTGCTTCTTTTTTTTTTTTTTTTGCTATATTGCATTTTTTTCATGTTTTAATTTTCTATTCCATTTTAGTTTCATTGTCTTTGCATTTTTCTCTCTCTCTAATTTGCATTTCCCTGTTTTCTTTTTCTTTTTGGATAACTCAACATGTATCATTGTCTCTTTATTTTTTCCATTCTGAAGTGTATCTATTTATAATTCTTTGTTCTCATTTTCTCTCATCTTTCTACTTTCTTTTCTTATTTCCTTTCCTTTTTTATTACTCTACTTCATTATCTATTCTTCGAGTCACATATTTTGACACATCACTTCCAACCAAACCTCTTTTTTATTATCATAATCATTCATTCAACCATCAGTCTATAACTTTTATTGAACGAATAAAAAAGAGATGAAAATATGGTCCAAATATCATGTCATTTACATGCAAAATATCTGACAGAACGAGATGTGAAAATGCACCTGAACGAGCGACTGTGAAGTACTGTCCGTTCGCTATTATACAACGATGAATATTGGGAAATGTATTGTTCATTTTGGGAATCATATTACGAAGATATAAAGGGAAGCAGAGAGAAATTAAAGAGAAATATTATTACGATTAGCGTGTTTGGAAAGTTATTTGATCATTTTGGGAATTTTAGAATATGAAGACAAATAGAAAAACGAATAGAGAAAGAGAGATATTATTATGGTTATCAGGTTTGGGAATCATATGATAAAAAAAAAATGGAAGGAGAGAGAAATTAAAGTCATGATGGATGGAAATTATTGATAATTTTGGGAGTTACATGACGAAAATA